TTTTTTTTCTTGTATTGATTATTAACAGACACACAAAAATATATTCTTTAAAAGCAATTATGTTATTTAAAACTAGAATGATATAGATAGTTTACATCTATTTGTTACTGTTATTCGAATGCAAGAAAATATATTTAAGATATTTTAACTGATTTGGTTTGTGACAAGGGTGTGAGTGTGGGTGTTGTTTGGACGATATCCACACTCTGATGAACAAACACACCAAATTATTTTCAAGTTTATTAGTTTTTTAGTTTGAAAAATATCATTACAGATCTTTGTCTCCTTAATTACTGCCACAAAGTGTTAACTGTTGAGAATAACGAAGCACTTGGTTAATGCAATTAGCACCACCCAATACTGGGGCTTCAGTAAAAGGTCCTGGATTGTTACAATCAACATTGAGTCCAAAACATTCATATGTATCTGCTGTCAAGATACAACAATCATTTGATGTGGTATTTCGATAATTTTTTCCAATAAATAGAGAACTAATGCAATTTAAAACAGCATTCGTTGCTAGGCTATAACCAGTTATGCAGCTGCCATTTGATCCATCGAGATAATAACAATGATTATTCCATGATACTTCATAACTTTGACAAGCAGCAACAATCGATGTTGTTGTCGTACAATCTAAGAAAACGAACAATATAATCAGATAAATAGTCGAACAAAACTTACTTGTTGCTACAATACTACTGCAATTAGCTGTTGACGGTGTAAAACGGGAGTCTGTTGCAGTGATAGCTAGAACAAATTTATATTCAAAACTTTTCAACTATTTAAAATTATGTCTATCTGTCTAACTACTCAAATTAAATTCTAATTCTTTTTCTAGGAAAATGATCATCATCAGTTTGGAATAGGTTATTATTTTTATTTTGGTGTAAACGTTCAAATAAATACACAGATATCTAGAGTGCGTATGGGTATGGCTGTGAATGTATTGTCTTCTTCATTTCTTCATTTTTTCATACTTACACCCACACCCACACCCGTGAATAAGATCTTCCAGTTATGCATGTACGTAAACCTTGATCTAACAAGAACACATCAAAACCCCACTTACCTTTTGTTGTAGGTCTAGTTGTATTTGTAACGCCTCCTGCACGTGCTATAAAAGAGATGTAAGTAGGAAATGCAAATTCACCGAATGGTAAAGTACATACTCGTTGTTGTTGTCGCAGCTATTCAGAGAAAAAAAATGAAAAAATTATCTTGAGTATCTCTCAATCTTTTACCTGTTGTATTTATTGGACACACGAGTTTATTTGCTAACGCTAGTGGATAACAGACTGGTTGACCACATCGTGTACTGTTCACGCAGACTGTATTTTCAACAGGACATGTTCGATTATCCGTATTGCATCGGACAACATCGGTACAAGCCAACACAGCTGACGCACAGATTCCTACATTTGGGCTTATCATCAATGAAAAACATTCACAATTACGATTGGATGAACATGGTGTCCGTTGAGAATTACATGCAGTGAAATTACATATTGAAATAGTTGTGCTATCTAACAGAAGTATAAGAGAAAAGAATGAAAATAATTGTAAATTAATTACTAGGTAGTTGTTGTTGTTGTTCTGAAGTATTTCTGTTGTAGAGAAAGATGAGAATGAATTTAATATTCTAAATACAATAGTGAATACTTACACTAAAACTATAATGTAGTAGAAAAATACCAAAATTAAACTGAAAATTTTCATCGTTATAGGAAGTATTTCAAATTCACACAAACAAAATTCACTGAATGTGGAACTACTTTTAACGCTCTTTATATAGATGTTACTGGAGATGAGAATGAAATCATTTTATTTTTCTCTCGAAAAACAATTTCTAATGTACACTGCTTTTCGCACAGGCAAACATCATTTCAAATGTCATATGTTTACTCACAAAGGCAAATCATTCAAGAACTCCTCTGTTCTGCCATTTCGTCAAGTTGAAAAAATACGCAAATCGTAAAATGAAAAATGCATATGTGAGTGACTGTTTCAACAAAAATACTTTTTGTTTCGACAGGGTGTGGGTGTAGGTGTGCATTTGTCTTGTCTTGAATCACGTCTGCCTACACCCCATTTTCAAGATGGCATTTTTAGTGACTAGGTGTGACTGAGGATGTGGATTTCGGGATGAGTATGGAACATACGCACGCGCACACTCACACCCAACCTTAAGAAAAAGATTTGATTTATTTCCAACATTAAATTTCTCTTATTCTTAATGATTAAATCGATTAATCTTCATTCAAAATCGTCGAATTTGATCAAAAAAGAAACGAATTTTTCTTAAAATGTGTCTTCTTTTTCAAACAGAATCAGAATCTAATCCATCGAAAAATCAAATAAGCTCACTCTTTAGAATTACTCATTTTTTTATAAAAAAGTATTTTGCTGATAGAACGTTTTGTAGATAAGGGTGTGACTGAAGTCACGGTGTAGGTAAGGGTAAGCGATAGGTGTATTAAGGATATATCAGGCATCTACACCTTCACCCTCAACATGGTGTCCACGAAAGGTTCTGTTCACTAAAAATTTTCAATGATCTGACTGTTGATAAAATACGTTTGGACAAATAGCATAATTCCTCCTATTTCATCAGATTTTCTTTGTTTTTCGGAAACATGTTTATCTTCTATTTAGAAGAACACAGTTGTGTGTGAATAATGTTTAATTGCACAGCACTTAAATCCATTTTATTATATACGAATTGTTTTTTCTTTCTTTGCAGTAATAATTCTTGTGTATTGTGGACTTTGAATATCTTTTCTTTCTATCTTTACACATTCTTTAGTAATAAAATATGTAGCTTGAGAACAAAAACGTGACAAATAATATAAGTTTATAAAGGCAAACCTAAACGAATTATTTAACGCAAAAAACGTTCAGTCACACATACACAATACTAATCGAAATCTACAAACTATTGCATTTTTTAAAATCATTCAATTTAAACAGTTTCATTCGAGTGTGAGTGTAGGTATAAGATGAATATAACACAAACACCCACGCCCTCAAGACTGTATCTTTTTATATATGTACATTGATTTTGCGTTCGATGAAAGAACAATATTTCTTTAAAGTATTATTTATTTCTATGAATGAAATCATCATATTAACTGACTTCTTCATTGTATATCACATACAATGACACTTCTAAATTACATCAACAATAAGACAAACACATCCGCAATGATTATGTCTTACTTTTTCATTATTCAGCTCGCTGATGACATTATATATATACTCAGTTCATTTCATTTAATTGAGTTGAGTTGAGATGTGTTTTCTATCCATATTAACGTATTAATCTGTTCCACGGTATGTTAATATCTATAGAAATCAGTTAGTTTTCTGTGTTTCGTTTATTTATTCTCTCCTATGAATTACTCTTTTTATTGGAATAGAAAGAACAATTCATAGTACTGAATAAATCTTTTCTTGTTTAAAAGATTTATTTTTTCTCTTTCATAAAAAAAAGTTCATAGCAATACAAATTATTATTTGTTTTTTACATATTCGAGATTCGTTCTCCACTGTTGAAGGTCGGGATGATTTGAAGGTAATGATTGTTGCCCAATTTGTATAGCATGTTTATAAAATGTACGAGCTTTTGAGTAATTGTTCATGTCTTCATATATTGTACCAATGTTGTTGTAGGACTTAGCCAAATCCGGATGATTGGGAGGA